TAGATATAGGGGAGACGTCAGAGGTAGGTTCTTTACTCGGAGAGTGGTAAGGGCGTGGAATGCATTGCCGGAGAGGGTAGTGGAGTCGGCCTAATTAGGGGCATTTAAGCGGCTATTAGATAGGCATATGGATGATAGTATAAGGTGGGGGTGGAGATTAGATGGACCGTAGGATTATGGTAAAAGTTCGGCACAACATCGTGGGCAGAAGGGCCTGTACTGTGCTGTACTGTTCTATGTTGTAATACCATTTGTCTTCTTTACCGCTTGCTGCACCGGCATGCTTACCTTAAGCAACTGGTGCACACTCCCCTCTCCCAATTTACAGCCATTCAGGTAATAATCTGCCTCCCTTGTTTTTGCTTCCAAAGTGAATAACCTCACGTTTATCCAAATTATATTGCATCTGCCATTGGTTTGCCCACTCACCCAACCTGTCCAGTTCATGCTGGAAGATATGTGCATCCTCGTCACAGTTCACCCAACCAACCAACTTGGTATCATCTGCTAACTTGGAGATGTTACGTTTCGTTCCCTCATCCAAATCATTAATATGTATTGTGAATAGCTGGGGTCCAAGCTCCGAGTCCTGTGGCACCCCACTAGTTACTGCATGCAAATTTTGAAAGGACCCATTAATTTCTACTAATCGTTCCCTCTCTGCTAACCAATTTTCTATCCATCTCAATATACTTTCCCCAATTCCATGCGCTTTAATCTTGCACAATAATCTCTTACGCAGGACTTTGTCCAATGCTTTCTGAAAGTCCAAATATACCACATGGACTGGCTCTCTTGTCAACTCTACTGATTACATCTTTATAGAATTCCAACAGATTTGTCAAGCATGATTTCCCCTTCGTAAATCCATGCTGACTCTGTCTGATCCTGCCACAGCTTTCTACATGCGCTGCTATATAGTCCTGGATAATGCATTCGAGAATTTTCCCCACCACCAATGGTATGCTCACTGGTCTACAGTTCCCTGTTTTCTCTCTCCCTTTTTGAATATTGGAGTGATATAAGCCACCCTCCAATCTGCAAGGACTGTTTCAGAGTCTGTCGAATCCTGGAAGATGACCAACAATGCATCCACTATTTCTAGAACCACTTCCTTAAGTACTCTGGGATGTAGATTATCAGGCCCTAGGGATTTATCTGCCTTCAATCCCATCAGTTTTCCCAGCACCATTTCTGTACTAATATAGATCTCCCTTAATTCTTCCCTCTCACTAAATCTTGCATTCTCTATATTTCTGGTATCTGATTTCTGTCCTGTTTAGTGAAGACAAATCTAAAGTATGTATTCAATTGCTCAGCCATTTCTGTCTGTAGGGGACCTACATTTGTCTTCAGCAACCTCTTTTTGTTTACGTACCTATAGAAACTCAGAGTCAGTCTTTATGTTCCATGCAAGCTTGCTTTTGTACTGTATTTTCCCCTTAATCAATTCCTTGGTCCTTCTCTGCTGAAATCTAAACTGCTCCCAATCCTCTCGTATTGTTTCTTGGCCAATTTATGCCAATTTCTTCCATCAGATACAATCTCTAATTTCCTTAGTAAGTCATGGATTGGCCCTCTTACCCATTTTGTTTTTGTGCCCGATTGGAATAAAAAATTGTTGCAGTTCCTACGTACATTTCTTCTTGAATGTTTGCCATTGCCTATCCACTGTCCCCAATCTATCAAGGCCACCTCATCTCATATCTTCATTGTTGCCTCTATTAAGGTGCAGCACCCGAGTGTCCGAATCAACCACCTCACTCTCTATCTTGATAGAACTTCTGTTTATCATGTCATGGTTGCTAATCTCCAACGGGTCTTGCACAGCTAGCTTGGCAATGATTCCCTTCTCATTACACAGCACCCAGTCTAAGACAGCCTGCTCTCTAGTTGGTCCCTCCACATATTGGTCAAGAAAACCATCCCGTATCCCCTCCAGAAATTCCTCCTCTCTGGCATTGCCCAATCTATGTGATTAAAATCACCAATATTCCCTTATCACGTGCATCTTTAATTTTTTGTTTAATGTCATTCCCAAAATCACCACTGCATTTTGGGGGTCTATATATGACGCTCACTCATGTTTTTTCTCCCCTTGGTATTTCTCAACTCTACCCATACGCCCTCTACATTGTCAGAGCTAATAGCCTTTCTCACTGTTGTGTTAATGTCCTCTTTAACCAGCATTGCCACTCCACCGCCTTTTCTGCTTTGCCCGTCCTTCTTAAACTCTGAATACTCTGGGACGTTCAGTTCCCATCGCTGGTCACTCTGCAGCCATGTCTTTGTAATCCCAATTATATCGTGCCTGTTTACATCTATCTGCGTGATCAGTTCATTCACTTTGTTGCAAATGCTCCATGCGTTAAGGCACACAGCCTTTAAGCTTGTCTTTTTAACATTGTTTGTCTCACTCTTATTTTTCTCAATAGCCCTATTTGAATTTTGTCATTGGTTTCTCTGCCTATCACCTTTTCTAATTCCCTTTTCTACCTAATTTGTTTTTGTCCTTGTTCCCACCTCCTTTGACTCCTTACATAGGTTTGCATCCTCCTGGCATATTAGTTTAAACTCTCCCCAACTGTTCTAGCAAACACTCTCCTTTGGACATCAGTCCCAATCCTACCCAGGTGTAACCCGTCGAATTTGTACAGGTCCCACCTCCCCCCAGAACTGCTCCCAATGCCCCAGGAATCTGAAACCGTCCCCCTGACACTATCTTTTCAGCCACGTATGCATCCGATTATATCCTGTCATTTCTACTCTGACTAGCACGTGGCATCGGTAGTAATCCTGAGATCACTACCTTTTGAGGTCCGATTTCTCAAATTTTGTTTCTAGCTCCCTGTATTCTGTTTATAGGACTTAATCCCTTTTGTTTTTGTTACCTTTGTCATTTGAACCGCGATCACTGGCTGTTCACCCTCCCCATCCAGAATGTCCTGTACCTGCACCAAGACATCCTTGACCCTACCAACAGGGCGGCATCCTCCCACCCTGGAGTCTCGTTTGTGTCCCCAGAAGTGCCTGTCTAGTCCCATTACAGTTGAGTCCCCTGTAACTGTTGCCGTGGCACACTTTTTACCCTTCCTTGTGCAGCAGAACCAGCCGTGGTGCAATGAGTTTGGCTGCTGCTGCTTTCACCTGAAAGGTGAAAACCTCAACTGTATCCAAAATGGTATATCTGTTTTGCAGGGGAATGGCCACAGGACATTCCTGCACTACCTGCATATCTTTGTTGCTTAGCCTGGTGGTCACCTATTCCCTTCCTGCCTGCAGAATCTGAGCCTGCGGTATGACCACCTCTCTATATGTGCTATACATGATACTCTCTGCCTCGCGGATGCTCCAGTGTCCCCAGCTGCTGCTCCAGCTCTGAAACTCGAGCTTCCAGGAGTTGTAGCTGGAGACACCTTGTGCGCATATGCTGACCTGGTGGACTGGAACTGTCCCCAGCCTGCTACATGGAGCGATAGGAGCAAACCAAAACTTTTGAACTCTCCTGCCATGGTTTACTTCTTTAAATGAAACCTCGGTGTTGTTGGTACTGAAGATGTTATCGTTGCTTTTGAATGGCTTTGTGCCACAGTGGCTGACACAGTACAGGAATTGCATGGGGAGTGGGGGGTAAAAGGCTCACTTATAATGCTTTCGGGTGATGGGGGAGGATGAGTTGATCGCTGATACTTGAAACTAATTGACCAGACAGAATGGGAATAATTGTTGACCCACAATTTTGGGCATATGTTGGGTGAACCACCTTTAACATGATTTGCAACTGTTTGTTTTACTATGCTTGTGTTTTTCATGTTGGAAACTGGGTGTAATTCCTTCTGAGACTTGAATTTTTGATATTTGCTTTTTGGGGCTCCTTGGGGAGCAGGATCAGAGTGCCAGCTCTCATTGAGCTCCTGGGCTTTATGTTGTCAGTGAGTTGAACTGAATTGGTTCCACAGTCTGCCCCTAGTGTGTTCAGGTTCTGAATCATGGTATACCGAAGCTGTCAGGAGAAATCAAACTGCTACACATACACTTGCACACCAGTGTTTTAAGCACTTTCCCGTTCCATCTTCTTGAAAATCTTCAAGACTGCATTAGTTTGATAACATATTGTTCACCCTCCTTGTTCTTGACGGGCTTGTCACATGTAGAGGTATGGATTCCTTGCAGTGTTGGATGTTGCAATGGATCTTTTGTTCCTCTGTGAGCATGGCGAATGCCAGTCACAGCTGCCTTTTTTTGGCAAGGGGGGGCATCTGCAGGATTGCTACAGATGACTAGCAGAAGCACGCTTAGTGATAGGAATCAAAGCATGGAACTGAAAAATGTGATATGCTGTATCACATGCTTGCGCTATTGAGGGCAAGATTTCTGCAAGAAGCTCGGGATAATGGTGATGGTATGAAATGCTTGTCTATTGCTAGGCTATACTTGGAGAAGCACTTGGATGTAATTGTACATTGTCATTATCCGTTGTGGTCTGCGGCATTTGGGTTCGGCACTAACTGGTACGGAGATATCACTAGTTTACACGAGAATCACTGAATGCAACTGTCTAGGATTTGCAGCGTACAGTTATTTGATTTAGGTCAGTCAGGGCAATGCTGAAGCTGATGCTGAATGCAAGAATTCTTTCTTTGCTACTAAAAGCACAACCTCGTTTGTCACATTGCTTGAGGTGATAGTTGAGTAGCTGCTTATGAGGAGACTATTTTGCTCAACAGTCAAGTTAAAAGGTTGCATGTGGGTCAGTGAGGAGTCAGCATCTGAGATGTTTGGAGGTGTGGCTGGGTGACCGATGTCTGTTAGTGTTCCAGTGTGGGGGTTTAGTGCCCACAGTGGGTATGTTGTAGTTTGAGTGCAGATTTGAGGTTTTGGCATGCCAAAGGAGGAAATAGGGCATTGATGTTGTTTCAGAATCATGATGCGTTGGCTTCGGCTGCATCTTGACTCGACAGTTCAATGTTACCAGCAGCTAATGTTGTTCTTTGTTGTAGCACTAAAGGAGGTGAAACGCTTCTCCAAACCCAATGTCTACAATTACACCACCCTGCGACTAGATGAAGATGAACAGATTCTGTACGTCGGTGCCCGAGAGGCAGTCTTTGCACTTTTAGTGCATGACGTGACCAAGGAAGTGAAAGAAGCGGTAAGGAACGTTTTAATTTTACACAACCTGTTTCCGAAATTAATGTGTTGGGCAATGATTTCACAGCTCCTCACCAAAAAGACCCATTTTCACAAATTAGCCTCGGTGTTGCTGGCATGTTCATAGAAAAGTTACAAATAACCCTTAAGCTTGATGGCTTCGAGGCAGTTTACAGGATACCTCATTTATGCAACATAATTTTTGGCAGCAACTCTTCAGACACTGATCTCTGCAAGCTATATTAAGTGTGCAATCCTGGATGATGGTTTACTTAGTTGACTTAGTGATGACTTGGTGAAAATGTTAGTGACATCAAGTGATGTTTGTCATAGTTGGCCAACAACGATTGGCTGAAGTGAACAGTGATTTTTGATCTGAGGGCAGAACGGACTGTATGACATGCTAAATTTACTACTTTTTGTTGCTGTCCCATCCGATAATGGGCCGGGTAGTCTTGTCACCTCCTGTCCTGCCTGGTATTGTCACGTAATGACCCTCTGGGCCAATTGGTATACTTAAAAGTAGTGATATTACTGCAAACTGTCTGCGGTCATATCCTGCTGTCATTTTGCTCTGTACAAATTCAGTTTAAAAATGATGGTCAATTTGTTTTGGGGTTAATAGCACAGATGTGCCAAATTTAGCATTTGAATTGAAGATAATTAATTCATACATTTAGTGATGACTGTTAATTCAAGTAAATGACTACAAATTGCAAAGGCAAAAACATCCAGTTGTGCTCTGTCCAGTGCTACAGATATTTGTGTGCATCCCTGGTCTTCTCAACAGCAACAGTGAGAGTGGGCACAATGATGGATGCTTTCCGTAACATGGCTTATTGAGCTACCAAACGATACCCTAGAGGAAAGGGTGATGAGCCAAACTGACTGAGTGGTTGTCTGGAATGTTCCTCCCCTGTGAAGTTTTGACTGGTTGGTGGGTAAGCAAATGGAGAATAGGTTTGTCGAGGACACCAGTATGCTTATATTCAATACAGCCAACATGCCATTTAAGACATGCTGAAAGCCTGCTGGAAGCGAACTGACCAAACCGTGAGCGGTGTTGCGGCTTCCCAAAGAGGCTTTGAGCAAGAAGCTAGGATTTATTCTTCCAACCCTCGCAACGTTCCTGACCTAGGGACAGAATAGGGCCCCTTTAAAGATCAGTGAAGGTGTGTACGTGTTCTGGAAGGATTGGTGCTGGGCCCACTGTTGTTTGTCATTTATGTAAACAATCCGGATGAGAATATATGAGGCATGGTTAGTATGTTCGTGGCTGATACCAAATTAGGTGGTACAGTCGACAGTGAAGAGCATTACTTCAGTACAGTGGCACTTTCGATGAAATGGGCAAATGGGCTGAGGAGCGTCAGATGGCATTTAATTTAGATAAACGTGAAGTGTTGCATTTCAGAAAGGCAAACAAGGGCAGACTTAGACACTGGTAGAGCCCTGGAGACTGTTGTCAAACAGAGACACCTAGAGGTCCACGTGCATAGTTTTTTGAAATAGGCATCACCGGGTATGTAGGATGATGAACAAGGCATTGGCACTCTGACCTTCATAGGTCAGAGCTTTGAGTACCTGAGTTCAGACATCATTTTGTGACTGTACAGGATGTTGGTGAGGCTGCTGTTGGAGGACTACGTACCGTTCTGGTCACCCTGCAACAGGAGGAGTCTTGATAAATCGCCAAGCGTGCATAAAACATTTTAAAGGATGTTACGGAGAGTAGGAGAGGCTGGATATGTTGGGGCTACTTTTCTCCTGGAATGTAGGAGGTTGAGGGGTAATCTTTAGAGTTTTGTAAAATCATGAAGGGTATACATAAGGTAAATGGCAGGTCTTTTCCCCACAGTAGGGGAGTCCAAAACCAGAGGGCATCGGTTTAAAGTGAGATGGGAAAGATTTAAAAGGGATGTGAGGGGCAGTTTTTACCCAGAGGGTGGTGTTTAAATAGAATAAATGCTGAAGGTAGCATGTCAGTGCAGGTACAGTTTTGGACAGGTAGGTGAATAGTCAAGGTTTAAAGAGATACAGTCCAAGTACAGGCAAATGAGATGTGTTTAATTTGGGATACCTGGTTGGCATGGAAGAGTTGGACTGAAGGGTGTTTCAATGCTGCATTACTGTAACTCTTTGACTCTGACAGTGTTCTGAGTGCACCCTGCAGAACAAAGTTCTTAGGTAACCTGTTATGTTTACCTGTCATGATTACTGAATAGGATGCAAGTGTTTGTGAAGACAAGAGTGCTGGTGTCAAATTATAGCTAAATCCAGCTCTTGCGTCCCCACTGCTTGCTCATTTTCTCGTCTTATAAATAAACGCTTAATTACCATGTATAATTTTCGTGACTTTGGCTCAAATTCAAGGGCACTGTTGGATGAATGGTATTATTCTGCTCAGTGACAAATGGGGTTATAACTCTGGGCCAGTCTGTACAGCTTCCCTGAGTTTGAAGGTGTCATATATTTGTTCCAGGTTTTTGTCACCTGGAGGTGTTTCAGCAAGTGCACCCAAGTGTATTAGTGCCTCATTCGGAATGTTAGACATGCTACACTTCAGTCTAATTTAAACGAGCATCTATGAGTCCGACAAGATGAGAGCATGCTGTCCGCCTCTTTCTTCTCCACAGGCCAAACCAGCCATGTAAAAGCCAAACTAGACAGCCACATTGAGTTAAACAAAATAAATAATGCATTTTATAATGTGGCTTGATTTTGTGTAACATTGCATTCAGCACCATCTCCCCACAGGAGCATTACCTGGATGAAAAACCTTGTAGCTCATGATGTGCTGATTCAGTATGAGCCCTGGTCCATGCTCAAATTCCTTTTTGTGTGATGAAATCTTTTCAAAAAGCTGACTAGCTGCTCAGTATTTGCTGGACATCAGTGTGACAGGATGGATCTCCATCTCTGCCCTAGTTCCATGTTCACAATGTGAAACAGGCCAGAAACTGGACCTGCAAATTTGGGATGTGAATCTATCACTGAGTCCCGACAATTCATTGTGCGCAGGAAGTTGGAACAACATCAGATGTTAGCTGAATCGCTTCAAAGCACACACAGCAATTCATCTTTCCTCTGATTTTGTATGAATACACTTCACCGAAGGTCCGCAGTTAAATTAAATACTTCTCCCAAAATGTTCTCAAAGGAGAGGAGGGACATTGCCAAAATAAGCATTGGATAACGTGAGTTGACAAAGGATTCAATTGCAGTTTGTTGATTAGCTGTCCCTTGTCATGCACTTCAAAAGAAATTCACCACCCCTGCACCTGACCACTCTCACTTTTACCTCAACTGCTTGCTGGTCCCATGAACAGGACATTCTGTTACCAAAGTTACAGGACACCTTTATTCCCATTGAAAATGGTTCATGCTTAGTGTGTATGCTGGTCATTTTCTGTAAGTAGTCATAACAGATTGCCCAGCATGATTGGTGATCCGTAAACTCTTAAACTATCTGTGACCTTGAGGCTGATGCAGCCAAATTGTAGACCTGGCACACCAAATAATTTTTCTATGCTCGGAATTTGAGTGATTTGCTTTCTTGAACAGGAAATGGCAGCTGTAGTTGATGGAAGCAGGTGGGAGTCTAAAGGAACTGGCATCTGCTATGGCAGGATAATACTGTTGTCTTTGGTACAGCTGTTCATGACGGGAAACAAAGTGTGCCTTTTTTTTTCCCCATTGGCTTTCTTCCAGTGCCACTTGCTAGATGTTCACAATTATCAAAAGTCCATCAAGAATTGCATTCTTGCCAAGGTTTTGTCATCCTGACACGCAACCATAGTACATAATCTCCAGCTTTGCTACTGAGGAGCACAATGGGGGTTCTTTTCACTGCACCTCATCACATGCTAACTAAGTCTCGGTGACATGGTCAATGTTGAGTTGTGCAGCCATCAGTATCTTGCGGCAAAGCTGAGATGTGTTTTGCATTCCTCCATGTTGCTTCATCACACTTTCAAAAACCTTAGCCTTCTGGAACACTTGTCCTTTTATGAGTCTTCTCCATGTGGGCACTGGGTGTCTCAGTTAAAATTTGGATGTTTAGCTTCAGGATGTGGTTTGAATTCAGGTCATGAAGGGGACCCCTTTAGGGCCGTCTTGCACATCAATATTGGAGCTGATGCTTAAGTTTTAACTCTGGACACAATGGGAGAGAGTAATGCGATCAACAAACGTAGAATTAGACCCTGTATACAAGCCGTTCAGATCAAAACTGGAAATGACACTCCTCACCATAATAGACCGGACAGTATAAATTGCAAGTGGAGTAGAATAACGTCGCTTCATCGGAGGCTCCACTGATGATGTCTCCTAGCATGGTGACGAAACGTCTGAACAAGAACAAGCCAGCTCGGCGAGGAAGTCAACAACCTCACGAGAGAGTGAACTCCGAAGTAGACATGTCTGAGCAGTTAAATGCCCCACGTGGGATAACACCAAGCCGTAGGTCAGCCAGGCTGAGTTAGCAACAAACCCATCATTTGCCTTTCGAGCCAGCTCTGCATTGGGCATATCATTCTTGGTCCAGCCATTTTTCTTAGCTCCATATTACTTCATACTCCAGCTGTGAAAAAATCTGGGTTATGTTTCATGTGCTGTGGGCAGTCTTTGTCTGAAGAATGTTTCATAGCATCCTGTCTGAATGGCTTAACTCACTGTTGCCTAGGTTTCAGCTCCACACTCCACAGACCTTTATAATAGCAATAGAATTTTTTTGTTGAAGGCCTCATGGTCATACAGTGTGGAAACAGAGCCCTCAGTCCAACTTGTCCATGCTGACCAGCTTTCTTCAAATGAGTTGGTCACATTGATTTGCATTTGTCCCATATCCCTCAAAACCTTGCCAATTCATGTACATATCCAAATGTCTTTTAAATAAATTTTGTAATTGTACTCCCCTGTATCAGTTGCTCTGGCAGCTCGTTCCATACATGCAGTACCTTCTGCGTGAGAAAGTTGCCCCTTAGGTGCCTTTTCAGTCTGTGTCCTCTCACCTTAAACCTATGTCCATCTAGTTTTAGACTCCCCAACCTTGGGTTAAGGACCTTGGTTATTCACCTTGTCAATGCTCCTCATGATTTTATAAATGTCTATAAGGTGACCCCTCAGCGTCCTGCACTCCAGAGAAACAAGTCCCATCAGCTGTTCTGTTGTCAATGTGAACAGGTTACAAGGTTCATTTGAAGCAATTTTGTCTCATTACAGAATTCAATTTTGTACTCCCTCTAGGGACAAATAAGGGATGTATGTGAGGTGAGCTCACTTCAACAGTATTGCATGCCAGTGGAATTGTGGAGCAGATAATCACTGTTCTGGGAGAGAAAATTGATCATGGGAAAACAGACTGTATGAGGAAAAGGCCATTTATGTAATTGATTGGATTTTTAATTGCCTTGCACTTATCTTTGAGGCAGATTGTCTGGGACGCCCCAGTTGAGAAGAAAACGGAGTGTGTTCAGAAGGGGAAAAATAATCAGGTATGTCGAATCGTTTTAACATGAGATGATTGGCTTATCGTTGCAGAAGCACTGTAGAGTAAGCATATTTGACCAAGGCATGCAAGTGGCAATCTAAGTCATCCTGCAAGCCCCCAGCACATGGACATAAAATAGTAGCCTTGATTGTAAACATAGAAGCTGTTGCATTTTTGATGCCACCTAGGTTGTGCTGGCAGTGAGCAATTTGAGGAACATTAGTGCCATTTTACAATTTGGAGATGAAACATTGGCATTAGTGAGCAGAGCTTAAAACCTGCCAGTGCAATGCATGGAAATAATGAGCAATCAACCAGTATCTGTCATCACGTGCCTGCTATAGTAATGGACTGTCACCAAACTTGGGAGGTCTGACAATTCGTATATGGTGGTGAGATTGGATGGGGAGAGCTTTGGTTGTTCCACCACGATATAGAACTGAAGTGTTTATTTGTTCTCCCCTCAGACTGACTGCTTCAATTACATTCGCTTCCTGCAGAACTTCAACAGTACTCACTTGTATGTCTGTGGGACCTATGCTTTTCAGCCTAGGTGCACATATATTGTAAGTACCATTTGTATCCAAGGATACTGCCTTCTATTAGCTTTTTATTTGGAACATTCTTGCATGAGCATTGAAAGAAGGAGCACTGTTGGACTGTTGCTATCTAAGTGAGGGCTGAATTGACATTTTTAGCCCGAATGGCTGAGGGAGATTGTGGTCCACCATGTTACACTCCCACCCCAGCACAATCAGAAGCTCCGAGATTGAGGAATACTGATGGATTTGTCTGTTAAATAAAGGAGCATTTAGTAAAACGATAAATGGTAACATTGGGTCGATCTTGCAGTTGGTATCAGTTTTGTGTTTTTTTTTCTACATGAACAGGTCTTGTTGGCATGTCAAGAATAATTGATAAGACCACTTTTTGGTGCAACAAGTCAATAAACAAACTAGCTTGATGGTCACTTCATGGTCAACTTGCGGGGAGGTTTTGTTCTCATTAAAACGTGCTGCTGGGTGCAGACTGCAGGCTGTAAAACCTTCAAGGAATATATTCAATACGATTGCCCCAGCAGTAAATGATCTGGGACAAAGGCATGACATGTAGACTGGCTGGTCACAGTATTAGCAATGTAACACACAACAAATAAAACACCAGTCAAGTGATTGCTGTGTCAGCTCTTTGAAAAGACCATCTGGTATTTCCCATCATCCTATTCCTTTGTGTTTTGCTCAAGTAGCCCAGCACTTGTTCTCCTTCAGTGCACGTCTAGTCTTTTTGAGAAAGCTGTCATAGAAGCTGTTTCCATCAGCTTTGTGACGTTCATGTAAATTGATCATCATGAGGAAACAAATCAGCCTGTTCCTGCTACTTATCCTTCAGTCTTGCCCTGCTCTGACGATCTGAAGTAGCAGACTACGATTTCGAGCCATGTTGATGTCAGCTCTGGTATTGACCGTGTGTATCAAACACCCCTCTCCTCAGGGTAGCAGAATTCAATCGCTAATCTCCCACCAGGCTAACAACTGACCCCACCTACGGCTTCTTTTATGTCCTTTGCCCAGTTTGTAAATGAATAGACATCACAGCTCTCCTGGGGCTGTACAGATGCACAACAGGATGGGCACACACTGGTTCCATCCTCTGCAAAGTCACAAAAAGCTAGAGTTGAAGCATCGTTGCTTGGAGGGTGGAAGAAGGGGTAAGAATGTCTGCTACCGTGCAACCACTTTTTCCATCTGACAGTTAGTTGGATGTGACAGCATTTCATAAGGAACCTCTGACTGTAAGCATCCATTTCACTAATGCCAAGTATAAGGTGTAGGTCAGAGATATTAAGCTTTCGTGATGCGGGAGATTAAATTTCCTTAAATGCTGTAATGTCTGAATGGGGAGTAGTAAGAACCGGCTGATTATTTGCAAGTCTGAGATGGAGTGACACCAGCAAGGGACATTGATTATGGTTGAAAACTCTGAACGAGGAATGATTTGGGATGAGGTGACCACAGAAGGAAGTGATGCAGTATGTAACATTCTGTCCTTAATCCTACACTGGGTTTGTCCTAGTTCTCCCTGTTGATTACGTTAGAAATCCTTATTGCCTCTACTTTGCCAGTGTTCTGCTGTGGGCCTGGTTACATGGTTCCAGGTTTTAAAGTCGATTTATCTGTGGCAATAATTTACTGCACACTATTGTTCCTCTTTCGCTCTTGTTTGTCTCAGTCTCTCAACTGTCTCTCTGTCAGTAGTGTCCTGCTTAAGTTGTCATTTACACCATCGCTTGCATTCCTAAATGATCTTCATTAACCCCTTAGCTGTTATGTGGCAGCAACATTTTTTTGCTGAAAAAAACACTGTCGTCTTTGATTTGAATGCTGCTAACCTTGGATGAAGGTTTCATCTCTGGTGTAGAACCTGTTGAAATTTGTGTTTCTTCTCAATCGTTGCATCTACATGAATAACTTGTTTCAAATTGTCTTTTTTCGAAAAAGGATTCAAAATGTGTTGTTAAAATTCAATTTCACAGGAAGTGCGAAATTTCACTTTAAACCAAGTGGCCATGGAGGATGGGAAAGGCAAGTGCCCTTATGACCCTGCAAAAAGTCACACCGGTCTAATTGTGGGTGAGTACATGAGGAATACAATTGAAGAATCCTTTAAAGTAAGCAGTTGCAGCTTTGTGAGCTGCATTGTTCTGCCATTGAATGTGGAGAATAAGTTTCAGACGGTTCCGGCTTTGTCTTTCTGGTTCATGTCGAGGAAAAACCGTTCTGTACATGTGAAACTAATGTGTTTGAATGCCCAGCCTGTGTCTGATGCTGCACTGGATGTTGCTTTTAGAGTTGAGCGCTGTAATAGACTTAGTTCACAAAAACATTGCATGTCATTGTCTGATGGACGCTTGGCCATGTGGTTTCAGTTGATTGGCTGACCTGCTTTCCAATGCAAAGACTGCGCAGTAGTTGCATTTGTCTTCACAGGAGTCGCATTATAGTCACTTACATGGATTATGGTGACACCCAGTGTGGTATTAAGCACTGCTGACAAAATTACACTTGAGCTTCGTGCTTTGTTTTGGTGGGTGGAGGTGGGAGAGGAGGGGGACATGTGTCTGCACCTGCCTGTCATGGGAAGTGGCGGGCAGCAGGTGGTAGGGAAGTTGTGATTGTGAAGGACAGAAATTGCAGATGATAATTTGGCTTTGATTGTTCTGCACCCAAGGAGAATGGAAATTTACCACTGGTGCCTCTACAATATACGTCCTTTCCGCTGGCTTCCCCAAAAGTGCTGTGAGATATGGGTCATAGGAATCTGTGGCTCATGAGCACTGATAGTTTGAAAACAAGATGACCACTGTCAGGATTGCGCTGTGCTCCCTCACATAATCCATCCCTGATTTTTAAAGATGGTGAGTAGCCATTTGGAGGTGATTATCATGAAACTGTTGTGTATAAATTCAGTTTGGGTCTGCGACAAAGCCAACTACTTACAAAGCACACAAAACAAGGCAGGGTAGATGCCTTTAAGAGTAGACGGTATAAACAACTTGTGCTTTACAAGCAAAGTACTGTTTCCTGTTCTCCATCCCAGCTCCCTTTCCCGTTGTGCAAAATGTCAAAAACCACACTGCTCGCCCAGTCAAATACAACTGTCAGCATATCCCAGGAGAGGTCTCACGTGCTTCAGTATCCACTACACTTGTAAGTAGCTGTCTCTCCTTGGGAAACTCCACTCTACTCAGGGAGTCATATTTGTTGCTTTCGTGTCTAAGCTAATTTCATCTGGAAGCAGGTTTTTCCCCCACAGTATCAGGTAGTGTTATGGCATCACCTAACAGGAAGTAGCAATTTAACATTGTTAGCTGAATGGAAGTGGTCAACTGCGGCCTAAGTTCACATGATTGGCTCATTGACCGATTTCAGTTTGAAGTTAAAGTATGAAAGAGATCCTTTACTGTCCCTGTAAATTTGTTTCAAGATGAAGTGAAAACGTCATTTCTTCCATTTTTTAAAATCTGAAATACTTGATGACTTCATGTATTGGTTACGAAGACTACCCAGGAGAAGCTGTGATTTGGGATGATGGGACGTGGTCTGAGTTGAGACTTCATTCAGCGCTGGCTGAATCACAGAAAATGACCTGTTACACACATTCTACAAGTTGCCAAGTGTGGCCTCAGCGAGTGATTCCGGTAGACTGACCAGCTCTGGCATGTGTGCAGATTTGTTCCACTTGCATCTTTGCTCATTGGCTGCATACACTGCACTGGGAGCCAGCCCATGCTGCTTGGCTGCACTTGTTCAGGCTAGGAAGCATCCAAGGGGAACAAATCAAGTCCGGATTCCTAGTCTTGATTGCACTCCAGTAGCTGTACTCAGAAAGTATATGCAAATGAAATGAGTCTGGTTGCAGAAAATGTCATGCGAAATGACTATTGTGTGGGATGTTGTCATTTGCAGGGATTAGAACGATTGTGATATCGTGGCACACTAGCAACAGTTCACATTCTGGTCATGGACAAAAATGACTTCAAACTGGAACCAATCTGAGTTAAAACAGCTGGCTCTGAAATGAGGCAGCAGGATCAGGGGATGCATTTCATGGCTTCACAAATGATCAGACATAGTGTAGCTCCTCTCTGTATTGTGCAAAATCAACTATGCCACTCAAATGGGGATGAAGCTCCAAGCAGTTGGACTGGGGTGCTGGGCAGTGACAGGTTAGAGCATTTGGAAAGAAGGTGCATGATATTGTACATCGGAAAGATGTAGCACAGGTTGTATCACATACTTGCAACGAAACTGGTAGTCCTGAAGGCCTAAGTGATTCATTTGGAAGTCAGCAGCTATTTTTTTTTTTTTTTTGGCTTTGGGTGTTCACTTTTCTTCTAATAATAGCTCAAGTCTTCACTGCTGCGTCCAGGAAAATTTTAAGGGCAATACATTGTTTTAAGTCAGACTGAGTGAAGATTGTATTCCAGATGCATTGTGGGTCCAATTTGTGAATTGTCCGCTGATTGAAATTGTGCAGAGGGTAGCTTGGCAGTTATGCACAATGAAACGAATTGTGGAAGTTTGGAATGCTGTGAGCCATGACTTGCATAGGGGTTGGATAGCAGTTGTTTGCTTTTTTTTCACTTGGTAGTGATGGCCCATCAATCTGAGCAGCTGTGCCCTATTAGCTGACCTGGGCTTGCTCAGAAAAGCTCATAGGCAGCATTGGAGATTCTTTTTCCAACAAATAATGACTTGTTCTGCAAAAAAAGTTGACTTTGGCTTGGTAATGCTCCTTTTGGTTGCTCTCTCTGCAGATGGGGAGTTATATTCTGCAACATTGAACAACTTCCTTGGCACAGAACCAGTGATTCTGCGGAACTTGGGGCGTCACTACTCAATGAAGACGGAATATCTTGCTTCCTGGCTCAATGGTAAGGTCATTTCTTAATAACTTTATTACGGTTTATTTTCTTAGAAAAGGTTACTGAGTGTGTGGAGAATGGAATGCTGCAATTAAGTCACGTAGACCCCAGGTCAGTTGTGGAATGAAAGTTTCCGTGCACTGCCTCATCAAATGCTTGCTAGGTATTAGAAATCGGGTCAGATGCAGACTCAAAAGTCAAGTGCCAGATACATACGAAGAGGTATAACATTCTTCATCATGGATGGCGTTTGTTTAATACTTGAAGATTACTGGTTCAGGCCCTATGATTGTAGAGTCTGTTTGAGTGGAGATGACTGGTGGTAGGGCAATGTCATGGGAGATCATGTTTTAAAGTCTCTGGAACGATGATAATATAGGACAAAGTATACAAGATGAAATATTACGTGCTTGTGATATACACATCGCAATAAGCATCATTCACTTCAATCTCTGCAGCAAGACTAAAAATCAAAATGAAAGTCAAAGGGGTTCAAGAGCTAGTGCAATGATTTTGAGAAGTTTTTTTTGTGAACAGGACAATTTGAGACCCAGCAGTGAACAGGAGGTATTTGACTTGGCATCACACTATGAGGGCATTACTTCAGGTCCTTTTTGTTGAGGGACACTAAAGTATAGTAGCCATATGTGAATTTTATATCAAGTTAGGAACAAAAGACTGTGCCCACGATAAGTTTTGAGTCAGCTGAAGCCATGTGTGGGATTGAAAGCTGAGCTGGTTGAAGTGAATTGGTGCATGAGGTTGTGGGCCAAAGGAGTAGAGACAGGTGATGTGGCCATTGCAGGGGCTGTTTCAGACTTGTGGAAAAAATTATGTTCCAATAAAAAGAAAAATTGTACACAGACAAGCCACAACCAACAGTTCAGGAAAGCATGAAATGAAGTTTTGAAGTTGAAGAGCATCTGTTAGGATGAGGGGCAGGGTCCATGACTTTGTCAGAAGATCAAGAGCATGACAGACGAATCAAAGATTTATTAGGAGGAAGAAGTTCAAGCACGAGAGTGAGCTAGCAAGGAATGTGGTTGAATAGCAAGAGTCAGTATAGGAATTTGAAAAAGAACACTTTCAGTCCAGTGAGTGTTGGTTCTCTGACAGTTGATGATGGAATCAGATATGATCTGGTATCTGCAGAGAAAACATGTTTGGCATCTGCATTAAAGAGGATACAGAGCTTTCCACTAGTTGGCAGGAATTGGGATGTTGTCAGCAAAAAGGAATTCTATACAAGTGCAATTGAGAAGCAAGGGTGTTTAAGCAGATGAATAGGATGATGAGCTGACAAGTCTCCAGGTTGAGAGAAATTTGGTAGTATGCTCTAAAGAGATGTGTCGCAAGGCTGTAGGAATGATGATTATCTGAATTCTGGCATGTATCAAGTATAAGCCTTAAATTCATGAATCAAGGAAGGTAGAAAACTGATAGGATAGTTAACTTAATGTCTGCACAGGTGATGTTCAAATGGATCAGTCATGTTCTAGCTGGGTACTTAGGGGAGAAAAGAATGGCCAGATAATCGGGGAGACTTGGTGTGGTTTTCTCCACGTTCAACCTATTCACGGTACTTGTTGGAAGGAGTAATGTGTATTCTGTGTAAAAGGGAATGTGTCCTGGTCGTTGGATTTGCAGAACGCTTTTGGTTACACCTTGTATGAAGGGTCACTGCACAAAGTCAAAGCTGACTGTGTGCAGGGGTTACATAGTCCTCTATACAAGATACTGGTTGGCGAAAACAAGATGTAGGCATTGCGCTTGACAGCAATGGCTTGGATGAGGCAAGTGCAGAAATATAAGCTAAATTATGAAAGGACACCAGGATAGGTCACAAAGTATGTTGTGAAGAAGACACCGCCAAGTTCCTGATGGTTTATAACGTTTATTATTAATGGTTTATTATTAATCAGTGGCTAAATGGACAAAAATCTGGCATATGAAATATCGAGAGGAAACTGTCAAGTTCAAATTGGTATGAAGAGTAAACAGATGGTTAATTCTACAGTGAATAAGTGCAGGGAGAATTGGGTTTTCTGATGCATGATTTGCAACAAATTTATGTGCAGTTGCAAATGCTTGCCTCCATCATCGTTACAAAATGACATGAGCACAGAAATGACTTTATGAAGTGCAGAGGGTGACAGCACGTGTCAAATACCGTGTGGTATTCTGGATTCCTCACCTGAGGATCTAAAAGCATTAGAGGGAGGACATGGATGGGTTGTTTTCAACTTCCGATGAAACATGGAAGGAGTAGGCCATTCAGCCCCTCAAACCTGATTAACAAACTTCGTGACTGGTCTACTGCTGGCCTTGACTCTTCTTTGCTGCCAACATACAGCCCTTAACTCGACACTGTGTCAAACATACATCCAAATTCTTGAATAACTTCTACTCATCTAGCCCGCAGAAACAGCTTGGCTAGATAATGTCAGGCCTTCATGATACTCTGGGAGAGGAATGAATACTTGGAATAAGTGGGCTGTATTTTGTAGATGGGTTGAGCTTAATTCAACTGACATTTAGTGACTGGTGACGTGACTGAAGATGTTGACTGGGTTTGACAAGATGGGTATGGAAAGGATGCTGCATCTTGTGGGTTATTGCTCAAGTAGGGGATTTTGAAGAGAATGTTTGTCTGTTTCTAAGTGGTTAAGGTAGTCAGAAAATATACAATAGATTTGCCAGCGGTGGATAACATGATGCATGTCAGATAATCTAAGGCTGTCTTAGAAATGCACATGAAATTCCAAGCACGAACAGATCAGCCATCATGTAACTGAATGGCAGAGCAGTATTGAGGGGCTGAATGGTCGTCTCATGCTGTTTGAATTTGCCCCTTCCTTTTCAGTCTGTTTTGGTTCCATTGTTGCAATAGTGGTCTGCTTTCTTCATTGCCTTCAGGAAGTTCTGGTTCACACTCCTTGAAAATAGGAACCACATTACCCAGCACAAGGTAATCTCATTTTGACATCCGTACTCCCACTAACTTAGTACACAAATTTGTTTCGCATTCCACCAAAAATGTAACTAAGGTTATGTCAGCTAAATGTAAGATGTGCCTTTGGGATTCAAGTGTGAACCTCTGCCCCATAGCAAGTTAGGGCCGTTGCCCCGTTGCACAACACAAACTGTCCTCTAATAAAAACCGAAAGTACTGCGGATGCTGTACATCAGGAACTAAAACAGAAGTTTTTTGAAAAGCTCAGCAGGTCTGGCAGCACCTGTGAAGGAAAGAACAGAGTTAACATTTCGGGTCCGGTGACAGAACAGTTCTGAGGAAGGGTCACTGGTCCCGAAATGTTAACTCTGTTCTTTGCTTCACAGATGCTGCCAGACCTGCTGAGCTTTTTCCCAGCAACTTCTGTTTTTGTTCAAATTGTCCTCTAACAGCCCATTTCAGCTTGAGACCATGCAGTTTGGCATGCAGCTTGGTTACTTTTTGGCCTGTTCTGTGAAAAGTCATGCTTCTAAGTCACAGATGGAGGCTTGGTTGGTTTCTGAGCAGGATACATATCATTGTGAGACTGCCACTCTGAAGCAAGTGAGAAAGTTGGATGGGCCAAATGGACAATGAAGACAGTGAAAACTGTTGACTTGAAGTGAAGGAATTGGCTTCTGTGCAAGTTGTTCGGATTTTTATTTAAAGACAGTCACATCACCCTGCCAATTTTTAGGTTCCGGTGCACTCTCGAATACAAAATGTCTGAATTCGTATCCAAACACTTAGCTTCGTGATCCTTTCCAGTACGTTGCCAAAGGGGTGCACGTGCAGAGAAACCTGCAGGTTGTGACGTATAAATGGTGGCGGGTGAAAGTGACTGTTTGACGTGGCTGCAGTATTTTCCAAAAGACAGCTTACCGGATCATGATCTCTCTTTATGAAGCCACGGTACAAAAGCATGGAAATTTGTCAAGTTGTAAGATGTGACAGGCTCGATCCCAGCTGGAATACTGTGTAATCTGGCCACTGCAATTCAGGAAATCTGTCAAGGTCTTAGAAAATGCAGAAAACATGTATTAGAATACTTCTGTGGGTGACCTCACTTGTAAAGACTGATGAATCCATGGCTGTGCACTCTTGAACAGAGAAGGTTATGAAGACATTTAATCTAAGTATTAGGAATGGTAAATTTGACATGGAATAAGGAAGGAGAAGCGCACCCACTGACAAGATGGTCAGTAATGAAAGTAGACAGAAGAAAAATAAATGGTCAAAGAGGTGAACAGAAGTCATTGTGCCACAGGACATTCTGATCTGATATGCAAAAGAAGCTTTAGCTGAATTTGGTGAAGGAATTGTTTGTAGCGTGGTGCTGAGAAGGGCTGGCAAGTGAGAATAATGACGTGACTTGTGAATGAGCAGGCAACAAAACCAAATGTCCCTTTGTGACTGTCATGCAGTTATATTATGGGCCACCTATTATGGAGCGTTAGAAGCTAGTGTCAGGAGGTTATGAACTGTAGCATTCAGAGAAGCCCGATCCTGTGATCAGGCAAAGTCTGGGTATTCAGAGCTAGGGGGCACACACGGTATTTGTGACTTTCCTTGTGCAAGAACATTTAGAACTGCCAGTCATTGGGTTGAGGCAGGACGTGGATTCCAATGTAAATGTTAATGCACCACAAGCAATGGCAATTGCGCACCATTAAGATTTAAAACATGTTGAAAATGGAACAGAGAATTAATTACTTTTGAGGCATTACAGCCAAGTGAGTCTGGCCCTTACCAGCCTCTGCCAACTAGGGCATAGCTGGCAGGTCAAACAAAGATCTGAGACAAACTTTTCTGCAGCCCTGGGACTTGAATTCTGATACAAACAGATACACTGAATGATCTGGTTATGATTGATCGATTGGCTCAGTTAGTTTCACCACTCCCTTCCTTAAATGAAAGCTCATCCTGTAGCCTACAATTTGAGTGATGTGTTAGGATAGATGGCATTCTCACAGAACTTGGCTAAAAATATATACTAGTGAAATATACCAAAGTTGCACAGGTTACTGAAAAGAATGCCACCAAATTCTACAATGTGGCTTGCATCCACTTATTGACTCTTGCAGACACGCAGATGGCTGAAGGGCAACGTTTCAGCCCTTTGGTTTACCATTCAGTGCTTTTCGTTTCCAAGATAAAAACTGAAATTGCTGGAAAATGTCAGCAGTTCTGGCAGCATGTGAGGAGACAAATCAGAGTTAATGATTTGAGTGCAGTGACACTTCTTTGCAACTGCCTTGTTTCAGACCTCATGCATCGCCCCCCCCCATAGTCCCCAAGTTGTTGTGGCCCTGACGCAAACAACACGTTACTGGTGTAGCTAGAGTTGGAATTGACGTCACACAAGGGAGGTTAATTTGATTGTTCATCCAAGCACTTTTTATGTTGTGTCTTTATTCCAGAACCAAACTTTGTTGGCTCTGCGTACATCCAAGAAAGTGCCAACAGTGCGATGGGGGACGATGACAAGATCTATTTTTTCTTCAGTGAGAGAGCTGTTGAGTACGACTGTTACAAGGAGCAGGTGGTGGCCAGAGTTGCTCGTGTGTGCAAGGTAAGATGAGCTTTGACGTGTTGGCTTGCTTTCTGATTGCTCCTCAGTGCATTCAGCCTTGTTCGGTGGCTTTTCTGCAGAGCATGTTTCCAACATCGGTTGAGATACTAAGCATCAGGAATCTCCATTGATGCGAGTTGTGTGCTATGATAAGATTGGAAGTAGTGGTGATATGACTGATAATAACTGTTTACGTCAGTAAGGCAGAAAACACCAGTTCAGAATTTTAATTTAAAGGTTTTCTACTGTAGACCAGAGCATGGTATTTGAGAGCCTATCACATTTGGACATAAATGCACGTAACGGTATGTAAGTAAGTGTCCAGACCTCCACAACCCCAAGAGTTTACAGTAATACTGGAATCTGTAGGTTGAAGTTTAGACTTGCAGTTATTTTTGGCTGTGTTACATGTCTCTGTGGCAAAGCCAGAGGATATAGGATGATCGGAAAGAAGCCCTGTCTTGCTCCACATCCAACCACCACCACTAACTCCAACCGTCAAGGGCTTCCGACTATCCACACTGGTAACTTGTGTAAAATTGGTAATTTTCTGCCAGGCTGGGTGAGCTGGACTGACTTCTTTTCCACTGTGACCTCTTCAGAGAACTTAGAAAAATGAAACAGTTGGCATCTGATGCCTGAGTTAATTCGAAAAAACTGGAATGTAAAGCAGACCTTCCTGACCACTGCTGAAGATACGCTTGTGAGGCTGGAAAAGGGATGGAACATGAGTAACGTGGCAGAGTACACTCTGAATGTGCCCAAGTTGGTTTGACTATTTCCATGATAATCTTTTTATTTGAGTCTGTCAAAGAAGTTTTGGCCTTCACACAGAAATATGACCATATTTTCCTCCAGGATTCTGTGGATGAGTTGATCAGATACTGGTCTGCGAGCTTCTGATTGGTGCCAGTGTGCTGTGTTACACAGGATTCTTAGAATGATTGTTGCAAGTACTGCGTGTTGGTCATCTTGTCAGGTCAATTGTTTGATGCATTTTCCCCCATCACTTGACTCCTGGCTCAAGTTGCACGTGAGCCACCATTTACAGTTATCTCCAATGCAAATCTTTGAACGTTGGCTGAACTGCTCACATGAAAGACTTCTCTGGCTCAAGGCCACGGGTTATAAATCGATCAGAGTTTTTCTGTTCACTCATGTCAAAACTGGAACCTCTAAAGGTGAGTTAAAGCAGTTAACCTGGACATGGCTACATTGCTGTCTTTGCGATCATACATGCGGATAAACTCACCTTGACTATTTTTCGTCAGTCGCCCCAAAAGAAAGGTGAAAAAACAAGTCAGGGACCTGGTGATGGTGTTCAAGGTAGTGCACATATCCTTTCTCCACCCATGTCCTTTTCTCCTCGATTCTGATAACTGGAGTGCAGAAATAGATTTTGATGCGTAAGTATGCCAACAGGTACTTATCCAGGGGCAGCATTCTCTGACCCATCCCAAACTGTTGAAGATAATGCTTCATTTGATTGAAACTGGGAGATTCTGTAGTACGAACACAAAGAATCTTGTTACCTGAGCCTCAGCTCATGCAGTTTACTAAGAGTGCTTAAACAAGCATGTTTGTGTCACCATGACCAGGTTTGTTTGACCAGGATGACTGACTTCATTGAGCTGAAGATTATTGCCCAACTAGTTATTCTGTGGAGTAATGTGCAAATGGGCAAATCAAATAGCAATTTCAGCCATAGGTTTGTTTCAGTCATTGGCACAGATTTTCATTGTTACAGCTTTTGCTCCCTCAACACTGACAGGTAGATGAGTTTGGAATCCTTTTATTTAGTCCAATCTGTCAGCTTCTGTCCTCATTCTGGATTGGCTGTGCCTTTTATTGTATTATGCCTGCAAGCTTCCCCCTCTCCAGAATGCCATTCCAAGTATCATGTCCCATCCTCCTTTGCTCTGCGCTTGAACAGCTGGTGTCCCTTGTGACCCTCTGTTTTTAACTCTGCTATCACTTAATTCCTGGTGTAAATCTTGCTAAGAAATTTCCTTCGTGCATCAGGCTTGGAAGTCCATTGTAAGCCAGAGTTCATGTTCTCTGAATCTTGTCTATCTCCTTCCCTGCATTCCATCTCTTCCCCTTCCTCCCACTCTTTCCCTTGCTCCTTCATTGCTGTCTGGTTCTTTTTTTTTCTTAATTCCGTCCCTCCGTCCCACTCCCCCACCCGTGGACATGGAGGTTGTTAAAGGTGTACAAGCACTGACTTGTGACTCAATCAGAATCACTGCTCAGGTGCCACTGAGAACATCAACAAAAACATTGTTGAACTGTTTCTGCTCAATTCTCACTTGACTTGTTTTGTAGATGAATTGACAGCCAAATGGGAAGAACCCACACGTGAAATAAATCTAAATTGCAGAGATGTTTTTGTTTCAAGTCAGTAACTTGCTCTTTGTAAGGTTGGGAAACTGGAAGTCTGAGCTAAGGGTAATGTACTTGGTTATCAAGGTTGATGTTTTGTGCAGTGCTGCAGGAGAAATCCCATGGTTCGGGTACTGACTTGTTGCACGATTGATCGAGCTGAGTCCGTACTTGAGTTCTGCTCCATTTCAAATCTGTCTGGATGAAAAACTGTACATTCACCAACAGAGAAGCCAAGCTTTAATTTTGTTTGAGACAACAAGGTGCAGGGCTGGATGAACACAGCAGGCCAAGCAGCATCATAGGAGCAGAGAGGCTGACGTTTTGGGCCGAGACCCTTCATCAGAAAAAAAGCCTTTGAGGTGTTGGGGACCGGGGAATTGGAAGTTCTGGAGGAGGTGGAGGGCGTGGGTGGTGTCACGGACATAGGTAGGGAGTTCCTGGACCAAGGGGGAGAAAATGGAGTCTAGATAGTTGGAGATCAGTTCGGTGGGACAGGAGCAGGCGGAGACAATGGGTCGACCAGGGCATTCAGGTTTGTGGATTTTGGGAAGGAGATAGAAGCGGGCAGTGCGAGGTTGGGGAACGATGAGGTTGGAGGCCGTGGGTGGGAGGTCACCTGAGGTGATGAGGTTGTGGATGGTTTGCGAGATGATGGTTTGGTGCTCAGGGGTGGGATCACGATCAAGGGGGCGGTAGGAGGAGGTGTCGGAGAGTTGGCGTCCGGCCTCGGCGATGTAGAGGTCAGTGCGCCATACTACAACTGCGCCTCCCTTGTCCGCGGGTTTTATGGTGAGGTTCGGATCGGAGCGGAGGGATCGGAGGGCTGCACGTTCTGCGGGGGAGAGGTTGGGGCAATTGATGTCTCGACGGCAGTTGGAGATGAAGAGGTCGAGGGAGGGTAGGAGGCCTTGGGGTGGTGTCCAGGAGGAGGGGGTGTGTTGGAAGCGGGAGAAGGGGTCAGTAGAGGGAGGGTTAGGTTCACGGTTAAAGAAGTAAGCGTGGAGGCGGAGGCGGCGGAAAAACTGCTCTATGTCCAAGTGTGAGCGGTATTCGTTGATCTGTGGGTGGAGGGGGACAAAGGTGAGCCCTTTACTGAGGACTGACCATTCGTCCTCAGTAAGGGGGAGGTCTGGGGGGATGGTGAAGACTCGGCAGGGCTGGGTGCTGCTGTCTCCTCTGGAGCTGCTGGCTGTGGAGGCTGTGGGCGGAGTTGCGTCGGCTTCTGCTGCAAGGACACTGAATTGTAGAATCCACACAGTGTGCAAGCAAGCCATTTGGCCCATCAAATCCACATTGACTCTTTTGAGAATCCCTCCCACACCTGCCCCCCCCTGTTATCACTGTAACTCTGCACTTACTGTGGCTCGTGCCCCTAACCTGCACGTCTTCAGACTGTGGAGGGAACGAGAGAAATCAATGCAGACTTGGAGAGATTGTGCAGACTGCACAAAGACATTCGCCTGAGGCTGGAATCGAATCCTGCTCTCTTGCGAAGTGAAGCAGTAGTGTTAACCACTGAGCCACTATGCTGCATTGCACAGCTATGTAAAAATAGAGGACAAATGGCTTGGGATGATCATGTTCATGCGGAGGAGGTCTTGTCTTGGTCACAAGGCTCACATCCTTCCACGGCCATGCCTATCAATGAACCAAATAAAAAGCATGATTGTATGCAATTTTGAGGGAGCAAATGGCAAGGTGGGGGGAGGATGAATATACCTTGTAAATTAGTGTGCTTTGTTGCTGTGTTAATAATGGCTGCACTTGCTGTTCGATTAAAGCAAATTAAAGTTTCTCTCAATGGCAGGGTGACATGGGTGGGGCTAGAACTCTTCAGAAAAAATGGACAACTTTCCTGAAGGCCCGCTTGTTGTGCTCAGTCCCAGAACTACAGCTTCACTTCAACAAGATCCAGACTGCTTACACACTGAATGATGTTACCTGGCAGAAGACTATGTTCTTTGGTATCTTCCAGGCACAATGGTAAGTTCTGAGTTAGAACTCCATTCTGATTTTATTTCTACCTTCAACACTTGACTCCCACCCCCTGTACTGTTATCTTGCTGACTTTTTCAACAGCACTTGAACCAACAGAGCTGCGTACATGTGTGAACCTGGATGTGGTTCAGTCAAATGCCAGGCCATGAATGGCCTCAAGTCGTTAAGACTGTTGTACGAAATGAGTCTCTAGATGGCAGTAAAGGGTTAATAATTCATCACCCATGTCGGGTAAGATTTAGATCTAGTGCTGCAGTCTAATGACCCTTCCTGAGCGTAGAGTTCATACTCAGCACAGTTCCACATGAGCCATTCCATGGCTAATCCTCAACACGCTTGCCACTTCATACTGCCTGAGACATCCTGTGCACTAAAAGTGCAATGTTGGTTGGATTTGCTGCAACTAGATCGACATTGGGGCTCAGTGTTTAGCTTCTGCATTGACAAAGGAGGATGATAGAAGATGGGAGGACAGTGCCAAGGAAAGCTCGGTGTGGTCGCTGTTGGGATGTCTGATGGAGGTGGGGGGGGTGCGAGTAGGTTCAATGTTGAATTAATTCCCACAGCCGAGGAAAGTGAAAGGGTGGCTGAGGGCAAAGCTTATGGGATATGGTGGAATTTGTCAGAATGCAATGCACCCATCAACTTGGCGTCAAGTTACCCATCGAGGAAAAGAATTTACATACAGTGAAATAAAAAGTTCAGCTTCAGGTGTAGCACTACCACGGTTGCAGTTCAAACTGGAGTTAATGGCCTCCTGTCAGTCATGCTATACATTGGCGAGTGTGGTCGCAGTGCTGTTTGAAAGGTATGCTACCGAGTCCAAGGTGCTGGTTGTTCACCTCCTCCCGCTCCTTGTGTTAGACCCAGAGCTGGTGGTGTGTGCATCACTTCCTCGTCACCCCACCAGATCAGCCATTGGATCATGAAGGCTACGACAAGGTGGAATGAGCAATTAGACCAGCCATGGGCATCCTGTTGCCCAGTAAGTCTGGCAAAATCATGCCAAGTGTTTTCCCAACCAAGATGGCTTTCCAGCTTGCAATGTTCCCTGTTGGTCACAGCACACCAGCCCCATAAGCTGCATTTTTGCCCATTTCAGGGCCTATGATGAACCTGCCTATGCATGTAGAATTGGCCACAGTGCAGCACTGCATGGGGATTGACTTCAGTGTTGGACATTGTGAGAGATGTTGGGAGGGGAAGAAACTTTCTGCCTTGTGTTTTTGTTGGCAAGGAGAATGGTGCAATTGGGAAGGAAGTCACTGGTGCCATTTCAGCTGGTGTGTGAAGAACACGTGATGGGGGAATAAAGGCTGCAAGCTGAGATGAATATATGCTGCGGCAGGCTGCATGAGTGAGATTTTGTGGATTACTCCCTGGAGCATTTAGACAAATGTGACAGGTTGGAGATTTTTGCATTTAACAGGAAGAAGACAGACTGCGAAGTATGAGTGTGTGACAGTTGAATAAGTTGGTGTTGGGTGGCAGGGGGAGGGATGGGGATGATGAGTGATGAGACCATCTGGGAGGTGCAGGTAGTGTGGCTGTGCTCTTCTTCACATGACAGAAGGTGGCACACAAGCCCAGCAGGAAAGGAGCTTGATTTCCAAGCACACTGACTGATGTTTCTGTCTCTGTACTTCAAGCCGACACTATTGCCTATGAAAAAGCTAATTTGGAGTTTTTAGTGTGGGATCAGGGTAGCACTTGCATTTGGGGTGAATATTAACCCATGAGTCTTTTTATAGCTTATTCTGAAGTAATTCTGTGATGCAAAAGTTGTGAAAAGGGGTTGCAGAATACGTGGTCCAAAAAGTTCATGCACTGACGGCAAGTTTGTAGCGGTGAAGGCACAAATGCTGGCTGAAAAGGGAAGAAGCAAATGAGATGAGGGAGGCGAGCTGTAGTTCATAGATAAGTTTAGAGAAAAATTCATGCAGTCAACATGGATGGACAAAAATACATCAATGAACTTATGGAACTGTCCAAGAATGCAAAATGTTACATTTTGACGTATCTGAGCTGTTGATGAATCTGTAGAAAAAATGTATCCTTCTGATCTGTGCGTCAGATCAGGCGCTTGCCATTGCAGCTTGGTGTCAGAATTATGCTGACTGCTTGCAAACTTCTAAATCAGTTACGCTCTGTTCCCTGGTAATTTTTTGCCTTTACTGACATAATTATTAGCAACTCAATGAATAGTGTACTGTTTTATCTTCAGCTGGACAGCTGCAAACAGGGCTGCCAGAACAGTTGTACTTGGACCTGCTCTGTCACGCTGGATTTCCTAACTGAGGAAGTGACCTCGGCATTTGGTTAATTCCGCAGCAGTTCATTATGTCCAAGTGTGAATGTGATTGTCTGATGGAGCATGCTGAAACTGTGATCATTTGGTGATAGCAGGGTGCTTATTTGGTAAATGGGTAAAATTTAAGGTTAAGCTCCAGGATTCGGGTTGCGAAAGGCAGGCTTTTTTGCACACTGCGTTCACTGTACCATCAAGTTTTAGGACATCACAAGATAGGTTAGATAATATTGTTGAATCCCTACAGTCTGAATGCAGGCCATTTGGCCCGTAGAGTCCGCACCAATCCTCTGAAGAGCAGCCCAACCAGACATAACCCCTATCCTCGAACCCTGTGTTCGCCATGCTAATTCACCTAGCCTACACATGCCTGGACACAACGGACAATTTAGTACTGCCAGTATATGTGACCTACATATCATTGGACTGTGGGAAGATACACAGGCACGGAGAATGTGTAAACTGCGAACAGTCACCAGAGGCTGGAATTGAATCCAGGTCCCTGGTACTGTGAAGCAGCAGTGCCAACAACTGAGGCAGCTGTTGTACGTTTACTATACCTGTCTGTGAAGCAGTAGAGCTGGAACATAACCAAGATTTTGGCAAAGGAGTGACGGAACAGCTCGAAGCCTTTCTGATAAGTGCAGTAACCATCTGTAGGTGCTGGGTGCCAAGTGCCGACTGAAGAATGGTGATACAGCACGTCACTTGATGTCAGTCTGTTTGTTGGTGTGCGCGGTGATGTAACGTGAGAGCTTTACTGTGAGACGAGTAGGCAAGTTGTTTGTTGCCTATTGGGTGTCTTGACCTGTTTCTGCTTGCTCACAGGGCTGATGTGGCTGTGTCTGCTATCTGCCAGTACAAGATCGAAGACATTCAGCGTGCCTTCGATGGACCCTTCAAAGAGTACCGGGACCAGGCACAGAAATGGGGCCGGTACTCTGACAAAGTGCCGAGTCCCCGGCCTGGAGCTGTAAGTTCTTGCCACGAGTTTATCCTGATTCTTTCAGATCCAACCAACTGTTTTGATGCATTCCAGTTTTGAACATAGAGAAGATCCTTTAAATTCCACTTCATTATTTTAATTCCGTCCTCAGTACTCTGTGGGAAGGTTCAGCGTGCGTTAGTTTACCTTAAGTAAGTTCATGTGATATACATCACAATACTGGGCTATTTGGTGTAACGTATCCATTTTAAGACATCTGGTGCACTCAATCGTACTCGTGTCTGTGTTCTTTGTTATCTCATTGTTGTCTCTATCCTAGCTTAAAATGATCAAATCCTTTGTAATGCATCTGGAATGCTGATCGGATTGATGCATTGCTTTAAAATCGCCTACAACATCCCATTGATGTTAATCAGTAGTCGTGTTCTTTTGCACCAGAGACAAAATTCAATTTGTGGGTACTCTAAAACACGTTGTAATTGGTAAACCGTATTGGTGTACACTGTCTCTGTATTTGAAATGTTCGTATAATTGGAGAACAATACGTATGACCCGTGTTTGGAGCGTGGACAATCCACAACTGAATACAAATTTGCGCATAAGCTGTGTGTGGATGGAAAACGAGCTTGAAGTCACTAATGAGGTCCATTGCAGTTGGCCAACTTGATGTTACTCTGAATCACCTTGTGTGCAATGCGCTGATGTGGCTCATGTAGCAGGAGTCGAGCAGCACCTGTGAAGCTGTAACCCAGTACAAGTCTCCACCTTCTGGATGGTGGGGGCCTGTGGCCAAGGTGCAAGATGGGCTGTAGTTAAGGTTCCTCCTTCTGGGGGAGTAGCAGCGTGTCCCTGAGTGGTGTTTCTGCGCCTCTGTAGTCCAACAGGCCTGCTTAAATCCTGTTATTCCTGTACATGGGTAAACGTGTTTTCCTTGGTTACTTGACAAGCTTTGTTTTTTCACCCATCGTCTCCAGCTCTTTATACTGTGAGTATGCCTGAGCCAGCATCTACTGCTTCTTGTGGGCATATATTTCACATGAATGTACCTGTGAAGAAGTGTCTGACACTTGAAATAGGTGATGCTGGTGTAATGATAGAGATCCCCAACAAAGATGTTCCTCCAAAAAAATCAATTACTTCCCAATCCCAATACCATCAATCCAATTGCCCCTTGAACGGTGCAGTTGAAGTTTATGGCATTCCAGGAAGCATCATTACAGAATCCCTACAGTGTGGAAACACGCGCTTAGGCCCAATAAGTCCACACCGACCCTCGGAGCATCCCACCCAGACTCATCGCCCTATAACCCACCAAATCTACACATCCCTAAACACTATGGGCAAATTAGCATGGCCAATCCACCTAGCTTGCACATCGTTGGACTGTGGGAGGAAACCCACGCAGACACGGGGAGAATGTGCAGACTCCACACAGAGTCGCCCGAGGGTAGAATCGAACCCGGGTCCCTGGCGCTGTGAGGCAGCAGTGCTAACCACTGAGCCGCCGTGCCACCTTTTGTCGGATGTCTGGGATCAGTCAGCCTGCCTAATTGCAACTTGCTAGTAGTTGGCACGTAGCTTCGATTGCTGTTGGATTTCACGTGCGTACAAGTTGCTGTTGTAATGATTGCTCCCTTGAACATGATTAAAGTCGCCATATTCTGGATCCTGGTTCCATGAGAAAGGTATTTAATGAAATAGGGCACCTATTTACTGTCATTTTAGAAAAGGGCAGAGGTGACACTGGCATGACCAGCTTTTTGACACTACTGTAGAGTTGGGCCATATGGCCCATCTGCTGTTATGTGGATAGCAGATCCTTGATAAATAACGTCAACTGCACTGTCACCTTGACTCCAGACCTTGTGCTGAAGTTTATAAAAGGAATTGTTTAAATGTCCCAGGAACTTGCCTCGCATCAATGTTAGATGGGATCACAGGATATTGGGTCGTATTGTCAAGCACAGCAATAAAGGGCAATTATTATGACAGTCAATCTTGTCTGCAGAACAAATGAGTTCTGCGTGTATCGCATGCCACCGTAAGGCATTTGACATGAACATTAAATGTAATATCACAATGTTGCATGTGGAAGTTTGATTGTTAGCTGCTAACATTGCCTCATGGTGATCTTATTCTGGCTTCCAGTGCATCACAAACAACCATAGGGTGCTTGGTTATAATAGTTCACTCGAGTTGCCTGACAACACGCTCAACTTTGCGAAGAAACATCCACTGATGGATGACCTCGTGCAGCCTGTTGGCTACCGGCCTCTACTCATCCAGAAAAACATCAACTACACACAGATCGTGGTGGACAGGGCAGTGGCTGCGAACGGGAATCAGTACACAACCCTCTTCCTTGGGACAGGTCAGTTGTGATTTTTAGCTTTGAAGGTCGACAGTGCTCCGTGTCAAACACTTGTGTTCAATGCTGCAGTCTGGGCTAAACCAAGTGTCAGGTGGTTATTTGCAAATTGAGTGGGACCGTAACAGAGTTCCTTGCCCACAGTGTCTGGCGCTTTGGACTGAAAAGATCCAGTTTGGTATGGCTGAAAGAATAGACATGCTGTGAAATTTTGTGTTTAACTGGTCAGTAGCAATGCAAGAAAACGAACTTTTCAAGGCAAAAATGAATTTTCTATAGACTGGGGAAGTGATCCTGATGGGTTGGTAAATCGCGGTAATTGTTGAGAGGCGTTGCAATGGAAAGGATGTGAATTTGTCTCCTTTTCTCAAATGCTATCTTGGGTCATGCGTGTTCTGCTTGGAGCTTTGTGTAAGTGTGTAACTAAATATGATGCGCTTGTGCCTGCAATACAAAACTGACAATTTTGAACAGATTTTCCAAGAATGGGAGGCTGTAGTGTTATGGAAATGTCACTGTAGTAAATCAGAGCTCCAGGCTGATGCGTTTGGGACATGGGTTCAAATCTCGTTATGCCAGATGGTGAAATTTGAACTGAAGGGAAACCAGGAATGTATTTCAGTTTTTGAAAAAATTGGCTGAATTAACAGAACTGTGTGGTAATGGTTTCATAAAAACCCGTGTGCCTCACTAAAGTCCTTGAGGGACAAAGCTCTGTTGTGCAGGCTAGAATAGACAAGAATGACTATCCAGATTTAGTCTGCTGTTTTACATGACACTACTAGCCCTGTCAATCAAGGGGGAGTTGGGACGGGCTACATATGCTTGCCCAGCTAATGATGCATGCATCCTGAAATTATGAATTATAAACAAAGCAGGGCTTTTTCAAATGCCTTTTTCGAAAAACAACTCTGCACGACGATGACACTGCTATTTGGTGACTAGCATTGTCTGTTGCCAATATTGCTGTCTGGGATAAAAGTAGCTGGGAAAGTGGAGTCACGCCAGGCATTTACAAAATGTGGCTTTGGGCATCATCTCTGATTTTTATGTGAGGTTGAAATGATTGTACCCACGAGGCAGGGATGGCAATAAGTCATCTCTCTGCCACCACCACCATCCCCATCTCCTGAACTCTCAATCAATTTTATTCGGGGTCAGACCTTGGCTTTGAACCCAAACTTGGGGATAGTAGCAAGCACAGCATTTGTTAAAGTAGTCCAGAAGACGTTGCTTTTTGGAAATTCAGGAATGCACATAATGGGCGTGGGGGCAAGTCAATACGACCTCTCAGAAATGAGATACGATGAGGGATAACGACACTAATTTTTGGGGTTTGAACTGTAAGTAGACACAGTCAGGACAAAACTTGGAGATTTTGGGTAAGGAGCGAGACACGATCAACTCTTTGTTTAATGCATTCGTGATGAAGGCACCATGGGCAAGTCAGTCCAGATTTGATGCACGCTTTAAGGCAACGGAGCGGTTTGCTGACTGACTGCACCGAGCAGTTAAAAGTCAGCAATTTTGCTGTGGGTCTGGGGTGACAGGAGGCAAAGTCAGGGTAGGAATCAAAGATGCCGTTTAATCTTGGACGCCAGTGAAGTAATCCAGCACTTTCAATACTCACGATCACTGATATCAACTTCATTTTTTAAATGTAATTCTTCAGCTAAAGCTCAAGTCCCTGCGGTCCTGGAAATGCTGTCTCAGTCTGAGGAGCTCAGTTGTCTGATTAACTGTCCGCAATTGTGGGATTTCCTATATTGCAGACAACTGAGAAATGATTGACTGAAGTGCTAATTAAATCAATGGCCTGCAATTAAGTCCAACCAGTGCAGGTCAGAACTGAAGAAGCTGCAGTGAATCGCAAGTCTGTGTATTGGGCCAGCAGGCATGCAATTTTGACAAGGAGAAGCTCGTGACTTGGACTGAATGCCTCCTTGAGTAATGCATGCTTGGAGTTGTAGGTGCTCCACGATCAACCTGTGGGTGAAGGCCACCCTCTCTGAAATAACGCTACCAAACTTAACTCGGTGTGACAAAAGGAAGCAACAGAGGATAATGTTAGGTACTGTGGTTCTTAGAGGTGTCTTGTTTAGAAGTTGTTTTTATTGACCAGTTGAATCTGTAACGCAGGCAACAGCGTCAGCTGGTACAGACAAAGTGTGCTACCTGGAAGGCATGATGCACCAAATTAAAAAGTTGTTCAAAGGCATCATACTGTAGTATACCTAACTGAAAAGTGATTAACATGGTTGTCAAGTCACTGAAAGAGTCATTCAAAAGCGTAGGAGATTTGTTTGGGAACAGAGGTTTTTGAGGAACACAATGGCTACAAAGCTTGTGTGTTTAACAAATGTAAATGGGTAAAACTACCAATGATTCACTGAGATCATTTTCAGGGGAGGAAATCTGATATAGTTAAATGGTGTAATGGACAGGTGACTGCAGATACAGCAATGTGCTAGATCCTTAATTGCTCCCTCCAAATTTCAATGGGCAGTGAATGGCGACCCAGCGACTCTGCACATCCATGAAGTGATACAGCCAAACCTTGAAAACAAGGTACATGCAATAGGAGACGTGGTACTGCACAGAAGTTTTGGGCAACATTGGTTTTTAGTCCTGCCTCAAATTATGGAAAAGACAGGATTTGGTGATGAATTTCTAGACTGTCACATCAGACATCTGAAGGTTGGGTTACTAGTAACATGTAACAGGTCAGAGAATGGTCGCATTCACGCCATGCCAACATTGCATAATTGCCAGTCACTAATCATTTGGGTCCGTCCACCAACAAAAGTGAACTTGCTCATTTCCCTTGGAATGTTTTTTGTCCAACAGTTGGCAGTGATCTTGCTGGTAAGATGGGGCCAAGTCTGCTGCCCTACAACCAGGAACGTGATCCATGGTGGTGAACAGGAGTATTTCTAAGGGTCAGGAATAATCCAGTATTCAGCTACAGCATTGTACGTTTGCTGGGACAGGGCACGTTGCACAGTAAAGAACACCATCCTGTGGTGTTTAGCCAGACAGATTTTTGTTCAGTTTCTGCGGTTGGGGTGAGTAGTGTCTCGTATAGTGGTTTTCCATTTCAGATAGTACTTTCACGCATGTGTTTGCTTCTTGATGAATAGGAACGGGATGGCTGCATAAGGCTGTGATGATTGGCTCCCACTTGCACATTATTGAAGAGCTCCAGCTATTTGTGGACCCTCAGCCGATTGAAACCTTGGCCATCTCCAAGAAGAAAGTAAGTCTGTCCCATCCAACAGATCACCAGGCTTCACTCTCGGCAGATGTTAAGCTCCCCCAAATAAGTCAATGACATAGGCATGTCCCGTGTCACTGCCCAGTTTGCTTTGCTGTCACTGCTGTGTTTGTCAGGATCACAGAATGTACGTTAGCCGACAACATTGCAGATAAGAGATGGAGAACAGTGTAGTGTGATGGACTTTAAGCCCACCGCTTGGTAAACTGGGCCATGGTATGTACTTTAGAAGAGAGTGGCAGAAGGTTCAGTGTTTCTGACGCACAGAGATAGAATAACTCTTGGTAGCTTGTATTCCTTGCGCTGTCATCCAAACTAATTGTTCAAATGTTTTTTTTCTAATGAAATGTGCTGTCTTAGATAAAATTGAATTTGACCAAGAGGACACATTGATCCCAAAGCTCTGCAGCTGATAACCTCCATCCTGTCATCAGTGAACTATAAGTTAACTGTAGTTTGAGGTCCTTTTGTTTTGTCGTTGCCTGGCGATGTTTACCCAGTGCCCCTTGAGCATCCCCAAAGTCAGTGATGGCCTTGGCTGTTGATGTTCAGAGTGCTACAGTTTTGCTTCTGTGTGCCTTAATGTTTCCCCATAGTCCTTGAATCTCCACTGTTAATTTTATCAACAATTGAGTTGGTGGAACTGTTGCGAGGAACTTTGAAATAGCCATAAGAGATGACTATTATATACAACACAGAAATAGACCGTTCAGTCCAACTCGTCCTTGTTGACCAGAAATCGTAAATAAATCTAGTCCCATGTGACAGCATTTGGCCCATATCCCTTTTAAACCCTTTCTATTCGGAGAGTCATCAAGATGCCTTTTAAATGTTGTAATCGTACCTGTCCCATCACTTCCTTGGGTAGGTCGGTCCATACACGCACTAATCTTTGTGGAAAATGTTGCTCCTTAAGTGCCTTTTATATATTTCCTCTTACCTTAAACCTCTGCCCTCTAGCTTTGGACCCCCTCATCCCAGGAAAAGACTTTGGCTATTCACCCTCTCTGTGCCCTTCATGATTTTATAAACCTCTATAATGTCACCTCTCAGCCTCCAATGCTCCAGGGAAAATAGCCCCAGCCTATTCAGCCTCTCAGGATGGCTGAAACCCTCCAACCCTGGCAACGTCCTCATAAATCTTTTCTGAAGCCTTAAAAGGTTCACGACATCCTTTGTAGAGCAGGGAGATCAGAATCACACGTGATTTCCCAAAGTGGCCTAACCCATGTACTGTACAACCTGCAGCATGACCTCCCAACTCCTCTCCTCAATGCCTTGACCCATAAAGGCCATTCTACCAATCACTGCCTTCACTATCCTATCTACCTGCAACTCTGCTTTCAAGGAACTATGGTCATGTACTCCAGGATGTCTTTGTTCAGCAACAGGACCTTACCATTAAGTGTATAAGTCCTGCCCTGACTGGCCTTTATAAAATGCACCAGTCCACATTTCTCTAAATTAAACTCCACCAGCTACTCCCGAGCCCATAGGCTCATCTGATAAAGATTCCAATGCACTGTGAGATAACGATCCTTGCTCTGTAGTACCCCGTCGGTTTTTGTGTCGTCTGCGAGCTCCGCCTCTGTACCCCTCTATGTTCATATCTAAATAACTTGTATAAAAAGACAAAAAGCAGTAGACCCTGCAAACTGCTTGTCATAGGCCTCCAGTCTGAAAAGCAAACCTCACCTACTACCTCTGTCTTCTACATTTGAGCCAGTTCTTGATCCAGCGAGCTAGTTCTCCCTCTATTCTGTGTGATCTAACTTTGCTTACCAATGTACCATGAGGAACATTGATGAATGCCTTCCATACAGATCACATCCATTGCTCTGCTGTCATCAATCCTCTTTGTCACTTCTTCCAAAAACTGAACCGAGTTCCTGAGACACGATTTTGCATGCACAAAGCCATGTTGACTATCCCTAATCAGTCCTTGCCTTTTCCAAACAGATGTGGATCCCCTCCAACAACTTGAGGAAGGCCAATTTTGACAGCATTAGGCAAGAAACTTAAAATGTTGATTTGGGGTGCACGTTTGCAGGTAAAAGGACGGCTAGAAAACGAGAAGCCTTCAAAAATGAGAGTCCAGAGACGGTATATTCCGGTTAGGGTGAAGGGAATGCTGCTTGACAAGAAATGTGGAGGTGCTGGTGTTGGACTGGGTGGTCAGAGTCCAAAATCACATGACACCAGGTTTTCATCTGACAGGTTTATTTGAAATGACAAGCTTTTGGAGTGCAGTATCTTTGTCAGGTGCAGTGAGAGGAGACTCACAGACAGAGTTTATAGGCAGAGAGATCAAAGGATCATACGAATAATGTGAGTGGAGTGAACAACCAGAAGACAGCTGGCTGCCTGCATCCTAATGAATCTGTAATCATGCGTACATTCCTGCATTCTAGAAATTGCCGAAGCAGGATATGGAGAACTGTTAGAAAGGAGATGCCAGTTATGATTGATTAAGATGCAAATTCCATAATGTTTGAAGTCACGGCGTTGACATAATTAAAGGTTTCATCAATGTCTGCCTGGCTTACCAAATTTCCAATAGGCAGAGAGGTAGGAATATACAGAACCTGACATCAGGTCAGACACTGAAATTGTAGGTGTCAGGACTAATCCAGAATCTGTTTGCGTGTTAACCTGAATCAGGCTGGCTTTATTCCAACAGCTGGAATTCATAAAATGCCACGGTGAATGTGACTACAAATTGTGTGTATCTTGACCAAAGTAGCATTTTTGTGCAAATAAAAAATATCTTGGATGAAATGATTCACTGCATAGGTTTATATAGGTGTGTGTGTGTGTGTGTGAGAGTGTGTGTGTAATCCAAAAGTGTACAAAGTAAGTAAGGTAGACAGTTTGTGCTTTCAAATAAACCCGTTTGGAATCTAAGTTGGTGTTGTGAGATGAATGATTAGAGAAATTGAGGTTTTGGTCAAGAAGGGTCAGGCCTATACAGCAGAAATGGAGTGATTCCCAATGTAGTGAAGATACTGCACAAATGCAGTATGGCATGGGGATTTTCACAGTGGGGGAAAAAGGTTATGATACCAAAGAGTGGTATTAAATTCTTCTACGTGTTTACATTGCCACAGAAACTCCTGTTTGCTGGATCTCGCAGTCAGGTTGTTCAGGTGCCATTTGCAGACTGTGAGAAATACCGAACCTGTGTGGATTGTATCCTGGCAAGGGATCCATATTGTGCCTGGACAAAGTGGGGATGCACAAGGGTTGATGAATCATCTGGGTAAGGATTCAGTCTTGAGTTCTAGTAGTGTTATTTATTTTTCTTGTGTTAATACAATTGGTATTTTTGACCCAAATGGTTACATACTGAATGTGGTCAGTTTAAAATGAACTGCATCTGGGACATGTAACATTTCAGAGATGTCTTTGGGCTGGTGATGGAAAATGCTTGGGAATCAGGTGAAAAAGCAGCCTACTTTGCACCAGTGTCCTAGGATTATGGGCTATACATAGCTGAAAGGTGTGTCCTAAGTGAATGTGTTTCAGTCATATAGCCTCTGTTGGTCTTGAAGCCGCCACCACCACCACCGCCGCGCCCCCCACACACCCACACACCCACCCACACACACCCTGGTTGACCTCAAGGAATGGAGTGGAGTTCATAAAGGTTCCCCATGTCAAGTTGGAGGATCGTAGCTACATTGGTGATCATTGAACTTCTCACTTGTTGAACTCATTTACCATTTGAGTCATTGACATAATTAAAGGATTTCTGTTAGAAGGAAGCTGTGGTTGGGGAGAAGTCATATGGCAAGATGTATGCTGCAGTATGACTGCTGGCAGTCCCTAATCTTTTGCTGAAAGGTATACAGAAGTACATTCTAATCAATTTAGTCACAGAGGCCATTCCAGCTGGTTGGCTGCAAAGCCTGGGACAGTGTGACCAAATAGGGAAATGACAGGTCTCTTGCTTCTGCAGAACAGAATGATGACTTCAGTTTGTGCTACTGTGTGTCAATCCATTTTGGTGAAGACTAATCTCCGGTGATTTATTTCTTTTTCCACAGATTTCTTGATGTGGAACAGGATGTTGACTTTGCCAATGTCAGGATGTGCCATGACACTCCAGGTAACAGGACTGAGTGATCTGGACAGTGGTGGTGGGTTTTTCCTGGTGTTGATGATTTAGGGGAGACGTGAACTTTATGTGACGTCTGTTCTCAACAGGCAAGCTGCAGTCAGTGAGTTCAGAAGCGGTCTGAGCAAACGGTGCTTTTTACATCTCCATACAAGTACATGGAGTTGTATGTGATGTGCCCTTACTCAGTTCCTCTTGCTCCACTACTAGCTTTTTTTGGTGTCACTGCCAACGCCTGGCATGCATGCTTTTGGCCAAAATGTTGCTTTTGGGAGAGCTATGCAACTCGTTTTACTGGCTCAAAATGAGGAGCTTCTGGTCTGGTGCAACTGCTCTGTATGCTGAAAAATTTGTGCTTCCATGAGTTGGTTCACTGTCAATGTGTATCAGTAATGCAGTTCATGCTATATTCTTGTCCATGGTGAATTCTTGGAACTCAGTGGACACTTTACATTGTTTGACGAGTATACCTTGTGCTCTGTCTGCTCTTGTTGCCGTCTTCCCTCTGTCTAAACATTATGTACGGAAATACAACAGGACTTGAGTGTGAAGTGCATGTAAGTATTGCTGGAGATGTAGTCATTCACAAAAATGGACTTCAGACTTCATCTGCTCTCAGACAGACATCGAGTGTGACACTGTACTGAATAAGAAGAGCTTGGGCCCTCTGGTTTTCCTAGACAGCATGAATTACCTGCTCAATAACTGTGTCGGTCATCTGCTAATTAGCATTCTGTAGTTTGACAATTATTACCTGGAGTTGTGTATCAGTTGTAAGAAATGGTTGCATGGCCCAGAGATTGTGCAAACCATTTGACTAAATCTGTTTGCATCCATTTAATGACTTTCTGACCATTGTTGGTGTGCCCTAAGGTGAGGTTGATTGCTATTTTTCTGATTATGCCCTCGTAGGTGTCCTGAAGATCAAGAACTTGACTGTTGTAGCTGGCACCACCATCCTCCTGCCATGCCAACTCATCTCCAACCTGGCTGTGCCCAAGTGGAAATTCCAACAGCAAGATTTGGGTCAAATACCTCATGGCAACTATGAAGTTCAGTCTAAATCTTTGATAATATCAGATGTACAGTTACAACAGAGTGGCATTTACTTGTGTTTCTCTGATGAGAAACATGAGCCCCTTCTGGTGGGAAAATACTTGCTGAATGTTGTTTCCAATCCTGCCATGGCACTGGAAAGCAGAGTGGCAGTGAACAATCTTGGATTGGTCTGGCTCTGTGCGTTTGTCTTGGGAGTGGTCTGCATCTGCTTGCTGGGAGTAGTTATCTATCTGAACCGAAAGCTCAAGGCGCGGCTGGAAAAAACAGAGGCGACAAAGGAAGTAGACTGTGTTAATGCTTACCCCACTGACTGCATCCTGTCAAAAGAGGTGCCCAAGGGTACAAAGTTCATTCCCAGCCAGACATCAAGCTCCGATGAGAAGCTGTGGGAGTCACCTTCGTATTATTACTCCGACGGCTCCCTGAAAATTGTACCTGGCCATGCCTTGTGCCCGAACGGTAGCTCGCCATCTCACAATGGCACTGCTAATGGTATTCCTGGGCAGCCCCTGCCCACGGCTGTTCAGTCTCCCACCCGACTCAACCTGGCCAACATCCGTGGCGCAAACACGAACGGCTACATTCGGCTGCAGCTTGGAGAAGATGCAGCGGACCCGTTCTCTGAAGAGTTACGGAAGAAGCTGAAACAGCGCCAAATGTTGCCCGATGCGAACCCGGAGGAGTCCTCGGTGTGAGTGATGGTTGGCTCTCCACGTGGCATAAGGCTACCTCACCTTTTGTGTAAATAGGACAAACGAGAAACACACACTGAATTATAAACTCAATGGAGACTATGTATATATTCCACAAGATACCACACCTGCTTTTAAAAGATGAAGATTTCAAATTCCGAACTTCACAAATTCCCAAAACCTAATGCAGCTAACTTATCACATAATGTCTATATACACTGTACAGACCATGTTTATCACCAGACTTGGTGTAAAACTGTGAACGGGATGAGAGGCTCCCAACGGATGGTCTGTTTCCTGCCTTGTGGTGATTGCTGTGATTCGCGGTGGCTGCTGCATTGCCGTGTAAGTTAAGTTTCTTGATTTGCTGAGTTTTTGTGAACCGGTCAAGTTGCAGAAGTGAAGACATATATTCGATACTCTTCAGTAAAGCAAAGTACGAAGACCAAGTTGTGGTCCTGCCCTTGAGCTCTTGGGTCAGGACTGGCTGAGATGGAGGAATCCTGAAGGAACTGAAAGTGGTGAGCTTTGAGGTTCAGAGCAGTGGTTGTTAGCAATACGATGCAGTCATGCTGCGGGTAGAAATCAGTGCATCTGGAGTTGTCTTCAGCTCATGTTGGCAGGTGCAACTTTTTTTTGCGGGGGGCGGGGGTGCGGTTGGCAGTTGTGGGGTGGTATTTGCAATGTATGAATTACTGTTGTCCGGGCTGCTCGGTGATTTTGTTGCAGCGGAAGCCAGTCTCTGTACCCGCATCGTGTACACATTTAACAGATCTGAGTTGGTCTGACACACTACCGCCACCTTTTTCTGCTTCCACTCGTGTTCTGATTGAATCCTGGAACAGTACATTGCTGTTCTCCTGATCAGTATCTCCAATGTGAGCGACCGCAATGGTAATCTCCATCCATGTCATCTTGTGTGACAGTGGATGGTACAGTGTTTGCTTGTGCTGTGTTCGTTGTCTAATCTGCTCATTCTTTTCTCTCAGTTGAATGCAAGAGTGGACCAGAAGTTGCTGCAGTGAAGCCAACGGAAGATTCTTGGTGTCAAAGTTCCAAGATCACAGCTTGCGTTGCTGATACAAACGGTGTTATGTTGCACCCCACAAGAAGCCTATTGGCTCTGGTTTTGGAATGAACTGTGCAATCTGTCGGGCATGTATTCTCTGATCGTGACTGTTTCTTGTTGATGTGTACTGCTGGGTGATCTGCTCAAATTGTCCAGATCACCTGCTCCTGATGGTTATCATTGGTGACGAGAATAACTAGTTTGTACCCATGGCTCAATGATAGAAGTATGAGTGTGACCTTTGGGTTCAGGCCGCAGAGTCGTGTCTCAGTTTCATGTTAGAGTCGGCGTGGTTTCTGTGTAAAGTGTGCTATGAGTTTTGGGAAGGAATCCATCAGTAAGTTTGTATGGTTTCTGTACACATATGTGTACAGGATATAACAAGATCAAATGTGTTTTCAAAGCACACATTTGATGGACATTGAAACCTTGGCACTCGGGTTTCAGTGCAAGATTAGTGTTTGTTAAAACGTGACTAAGACATGGAGTTTTAATTGGCCGTGTATAGAATGGGATAGCTGAGCAGCATAATTCAGTGTTTGATGATGCCTGCTTGTTTGTTGAGTGGACAGTGCAGGAATGTGTTGAAGATATCAGCCAAGTGATGCTCTTGAAGTGATTCCGTAGTTTATGGGATGTATATGAAATCAAGGTGAGGATTGTCGGACATGTCTTGTTATCTCTGAATAAGGCTATAGCTGTGAACACGAGTGAGGCAGTGTTTCATACACTGATCAGACTGATGTCTGCGAAAAACCTGGAATGTAGTTGAAGGAGGAGTGAGTTTAGTGCAGACTGGGCACAAAACAGCTGATCGCTTTGACCAGAAATATTGTTTGAATATGTGTACGTTGCAGAGATGTTGAGTAAGTTGGTAGGTGGAAGAGGAATTCAGTCAAGACCTCTGAATTAGGCTCACTGAAGGATTGCTGCGCAGAATAGGGAGGTGAACAACTGAATTAGTCCTATGCGCTTGTTTACTTGTCCAGCAGGGAAGGAAGCATGAGGAAAAGGTTGATTTGTTGTCCACAGAGTGCAGGATGTGTTGGCACCGAAAGGTGTTCAGTTGTTTTGCAGTTGGTATTCTACTCTAAAATGTAACTTATTGAACTCAGCATGTAATTTAAGTATTGTACAGTCTGAAATATTTAAAATATTTTTATATCAATCAATTTCAAAAGGATTAAAGTTAAGTGAAACACAGGCTGTTTACAATTTCTGTGTGTTCCATTTTGGTTCTTTAGAAGTGAACATTTGTTTCGAACAAATAGGAAATAGACTGCTAATTTGATTGGCACAGAATTCACTCATCTGTTGAGCCCACTAAGCTCCAGGGACAAGGATGGTGCCTTGAAATATCGGATGGTCCTGCAGCATGTCATGTGCTCTTTGTTGACTGACATGAATTGCTGTCTTCAGTGGACACAGAAGACCCAATAGCAATATTTGGAGGAAGAGGTGAGTTTATGTGGTGTCCTCATTAACACCAATTCTTCAATCGACGAAGACTGGAAAACTCAACATGTCACCAGTTTAACGGAATGGAGTCAACAGAAACAATTATGGGTGTGAAAACATACTGCTGCCAATGGTAATGTTCCACCATGAGCTCGAGTTCCTGGCATCACATCAGTGCTGTCCTCAAGCGAGGATGTCAGGTCCAGGTGGAGCAGCAGGGAGCATGTTGCTGTGAGAAGGTGAAATGCGAAGTAAATGAGGAATTGAGTCATCGTTTTCTCTCCTGTCCTTTTGACCACGAGCGTAAGACAAGAGCTCAGTTCTGTATGCTGTGTTTGAGAAACCTGGCAGGGAGTTGAGGATTGGCTTGTAGCCAGCATGGCCTGCTGGTTTATGTCACAGGAGATCAAGGGGTGCTGAGGGAGGATGGATAGATTCAGTACACAAACAGTACCTTAAAAGGTCAGTGTTGTGTTTGGAGCCAGAAAATGGTGGTGTTACATGGTTAGAGAGAAGACCGATCATGCTGCTGTAACTGTGCACTTTTTTTCAAGGGGAGGGGGGAGAGAGAGA